TGTGTGTGTGTGTGTGTGTCTGTGTGTCTGTGTGTGTGTGTCTGTGTGTCTGTGTGTCTGTGTGTGTCTGTGTGTATGTGTGTGAGAAAGAGGTGGAGAGATGTTTTGGCAGAGGGAGGGATGGTATCAAGTAGTTATAGAATCGGTTGGTGTATTAAACACATATAATCCTTTGTAAACGCATCCATGCCCTCAGGAAAAGGTGGTTCACTCCTTAAATCACAGAACTTTACATTTTTCCCAAGGCTCAAAAGTTTAACTAACGTCTTGTATTGTGTTGGGAAGGGGGCCCTGAAATTGACACAGAAGAGGCCAATCTCAAAACGGTTGAGACCACGAAGCCTGACAAATCCTCCCTTTAAATGACACAGACAAGCCCAGCTGAGCCTGGTTGAGCCTTCTTTGACTTTCTTGTCCGCAGTGCCCACCCCTTGAGCTCAGCCCACCCCTTGAGCTCAGAAGGCCTGGTCTCCTCCAGAGTTCTCTGGTCCACCTTGCTGGAGACAGGAGCCCTTGCAGGGGACATCAGACCTGCCACAAAGGCACAGGCTATCTTTCTCATCTCATCATGGTGGCTGTGGGAACAGGCCTGGGAGCGGGGCTGCATGGCTTTGAATGCAGCCTCAGCACCTATTGAGATCTTGCACAAGTCACTGTGTCTGTTTCCTTGCCTATAAAATGGGGCTGTAATACCCACCTCACAAGGCTGTTGCAAGATCAAAAGAGGTCACTCAAGTATAATGAGTTGAAAGCACGGCGAACGGCGCCTGGCAGACCGGTGACACAAGTTTGCCATGATTGCCCCCGACCTGTCTCCCCTGGCTCCTGACTCCTTCCTGATTCTTAGACCCCTTCTGCAATGCTCCTCATTTGGACCTGTTCACTGTCACCACCTCCAAGAAGCCTGTCCTGACCACCTCATCTTGAGTGGCCTGCCCCTCCTCCCCCTCCTCACCACTTCCATTATTTTTCTCCCTTCTAGATCACCTCCATTCTCCTCTTGACCCTCAGGCTGTCCTCAGTCCTCCCTGCCCGATCCTCCCAGACTGTCCCTCACCTTGCCCTCCCAGCGCCCTCCCCCCCACCCCCACAGTACACACCAGGCTGGCCTGTCCATCTCACGTTTTATTGTAAAAATGTTAAAATAAATTACATTTGACATCCTCGCCACTATGTACATACAGTGTGTACAATTCCAGGACAGCCAGTGGCACCCCAGCAAGGTGGGGTGAGGAAACTCAGATGAGCTCGTTAAAGCGTTTCACAGAAAGACTGAAGGCCACCCCTCTCACCCCGCTGCCAGGCCAGCACACCCCTCAGTTACAGGATGAGTGGGGGAGTGGACACACACGCCCATTGCTATCTTCACATGTTGGGGGGGGGGGTTGGGTCTGGCCCCATTTGGCCCCACAGTATTGGGGAGGGGGCTGAGAGGCAGAAAAGGTGTCTGGGTTGAGGGTGATCGCTCGCCTCCTGCCCAGCATCAGTCGCCTGCAACCGATGCCCCACCCCCACTCTGCATGGGGACTCTTGACATGGAGACCCTGGCTGAGGTCACCGAGAAAGGCCCAACTGAGTTGGGGGTAGGAGGGTGAACACTGAATATCCCAATCCTTGGGACTGGACTCTGTCACCTTTTCTCCCCTCTGGCTCTGAATCCAACCACAGACGCCAGGTACATAAAAACAGCAGTTCATGTAAAAAATAACAAACAAAACATGCAGGACAGAGTGGGCTGGCCCCAGGGTCCACATTGTGGAGAACCCAAGAACTCAGGCACAGCAAGTTCTGCCAGCCCCTCACCAGAAACAGTTGTGTGCAGTTTCACATTATCTTTTGCTTCCCCATAGCAAATCCTTTCCCGTCTTTCTCTCATTCATTCACACACACACACACACACACACACACGCACGCGCGCAACAGTAGCTGGAGGGAGGAGTCTGATTCACATATTTGGCCATTCCCTGCCTGTGAGCCAAGAGCAATCTGGGGAGCAGCGAGGCGCAGGGCATGAGGACAGCGGGGCGGGCAGGTGGGGGCAGGTCCCTGAGCCCCAGCCTCAGAGGCCATGGCCTGTTGACCCTCTTCCTCCCACCAGTTCCCTGGAGGCAGAAAGCCTTCATCTACCATTGCTTGGCCAAAGGGGGCCTGAGACAGGGAACTGGGCTCTGGGCTGGTCCTAGTAAATCAACAAGAATGACTAGGACCCTGGGCCACACTCGGGGCTTGCTCTGCGTCCTTGTATCAGGAGTGTTTCGGCACCCGCCCACCCGTGTTCTCCTCTCTCCCTCCCCAGGCGGCCTCTTCCCTACTGGGGTTTGCAGTAGGGGCCTGACGGTCAGGCAGACAGGTGGGATTGGGGGATGGTGACATCCGTGCCCCAGGCTGGGCCCTGCTACCGCTGAGGAGCTAAGTGCCGGCCTGATGCCACAGCTGTACCTCCTGCAGAAGCAGGCCCCAGGTCTCACACTGCCTTCGCCCTCTCTGAAATACCTGCCCCAGTGCCGGCCACACAGAAGGAGCTCGTTAATACTGGTGAACTCAAACTGCCAAGGCCCTGGCTAAGAGAACCGTGTGACATTCTCAACCGAATGACTGGGCGAAGACCCACGCAGGGGCAGGTCTCCTCGGAGTCAGTCCTGCCAGTCCATACATGTCTTTGAACCATCAAAAGTATGCCAGCCGTGCTCAGGACAGACGCCTCCCATTGCCAGGGTGCCTGTTCAGCTGGAGAACAGAGGCCCTGTCCTGGGCATGCGCCATGTTTGATCGGGAGCGTCTAGCTGGAGAGGATGCAAGGTGAGGAAAGCCCCCGGCCCCCCACTTCCAGTTCCAGAGCCGCTCCCCTGCCCCCAGGGCCCAGGGGTCCCAGCCCTCGTAGGATGCCCCAGGATGAGGGGAACAGAAGCCAGTGAAGGTGGGGCGGGGAGCGGCCCGGCCTCACGTGCCTTTGGAGCAGTCTGCTTTGTTGTACTCGTTCATAAGCTGCTCGTATGGCACAGAGAGCTCCGACTCGGTGCTGGTGAAGGTGGACTCGTCTGATGACGGGAACTCGCCCAGGTTGAGGGGCACCTCAGCCTTGACCCCCTCCTTGGGCCTCTCCTCCCCGGCCAGGTTGTCCTCCAGTGAGGACTTGGACGTCTCCTCGTCCGTGAGGCTGGTGTCCTCGTTCACAAAGGTGATGCTGGCATTCTGGAAGATGAGCGGGTGGTAGTCCTGCGCGTCCCAGGGCTCGACCTCCTCGCTGATGCGGTCCAGCTGGTTAATGCATACCTCGGGGGCGGGGGAGCCGTCCTCGGGGGGCCCTGCCCCTGCCTCCTCGCCGGGGGGCCGCGACACATGGCCTTTGCTTCTTAGTGTCTGAGTCACCTCTTCCAAGCTGGGCACCCGGTTCTTGGAGTAGACCACCAGGGGAGTCAGGGAGGTGGGGAGGGCTGGCAGCGTACCCCCCTGAGGCCCCAGCCCTGGTCCTGGGACCCTCTCTCCACCCCCGCTCGTCTTCATCCCCTTCTTCCCGATCTGCTTGATGAGGTCATTGTAGGTCTCCTCCTTTTTGGACAGGAAGCTGAAGATGTTGATGTCCTTGGACCCTGCACTCCCCGCCATCCGCAGAGGCTTCCTGGAGTGTGGGGAGCTCTCGAAGGACTCCTTCCTCCGCCGCCGCCGCTTCTTGATGGCCTTGTGGACCTCCACAAACATGCTCACCTTCCAGCTGACAAAGAGGGACAGCCAGGCCAGCCCCAGGTAGATCCACAGCTCCACAAAGTAGCGGTACAGGGCGTGGTAGTTGGCGCTGGGGTTCACACCTGAGGACAAGACGGGGGCCCAGAGGGTCAGGAGAGGGTGGGCGGGGACCCGGAAACACAAAGGCCAAAGCTGTGTTGTCTGAGGGTGGGCACGGTGCCAGGACACAGAAGAGGACTCACTGAGAAAGAAGGAGGCCTGTTCTAGAACCTGGGCTACGCCATTGTGCTGAAGGGTCTTGGCCCAGTCTCTCACGTGCCTATCCCAGTCCCCAACCTGCCAGAGCCTCAGTGTCCTCAGCTGTCAAAGGTCAGGAGGGTGGTCCCTCGGGGTGAGGGAGGTTCCGGGGAGGGGCCTTGGGGAGGCTGGTAATGGAGCCAGCACAGGTCAGGAAATAGTTCAAGCATGTTTGCCTTTCAGTCATTCACCTACACCTACACCGGGCTGCTCTGTGCACTTAGTTGGTGTATACGTTACAGTTCCTCTAAAACCAGGATGCAAGTGAAGTGAGAGGGTGGCTGGCATCCTCACGGATGGGGATCGACTCACTGGTTCAATACGAATGAGGCTGGCGGTTGGGCCGAGAGGTCCGAGGGCACTGGTCTGGCAGGAAGTATTCTGGACAGCCTCCTTCAGTGATGTCTGGCCTGCCTCCTCAGAATGGCTCTTCCTGTGCCCAGAGGGCTCTGCCCACTTCATGTCCCCCTCCTCCAAAGCCAGGCTTCTGACGCCTGCTCCAGGGAGCCCTCCTGGGCCACCCCACACAGCTCAGATTGCTCTCCTACACCCCAGGATTATCTGAGATTTGTTGGTTAACTTTATACCTCCAGACATGTGGATCTGTCTTATGTATCCTGTCTCCCCTGGCTCCAAAATGCGAGCAACTTGGAAAACGAACGGGAGGAAGGGGCTTCCTCCAGGGTGGGGCTCTCTCAGGGCAAGGACTCTACCTCCCTCATCATATTCGGGGCTCCCTGAAGGCAGGGGCCATGTCTCCTCTTGCAGACAGAAGTGCTGTTTGGGGGCGCTGTCAATCTTCAATCTTGCTCAGGGCTCTTGGTCACAAGCAAGGTGTGGTGACAACCAGGACAAACACTAATATAGCTGGGCCCAGCCCTCAGCACTCACTTGATTTTCCACCGCCCTGTCAGGTAGGTGCATATTTCTTTTTTATTAAACCGATTTGACAGATGAGGAAACTGAGGCTGAGGTTTGGTGTCTTACTGGAGCTGAGAAAGTATGATTAAATACACCACTGTACTTCCCCAGTACACAGGCTTCTCCTTAGCTGGCTCAGGGTCCCTTAGACAATAGCAGGGTTGTGCCTCCGTCTAAATTTATCTCCCAAGACAGCAGGCCCAGATCTGCCAGGGTCAGTGGAGTGTTCAGGCCCCTTTCCTCTTCCTCCCAGCCACTCAGCCGCCCCCTCCCAGCATTCCGAGTCTCTGCTTACAATGCGGTAAAAGGCTAGTGACCTGCCCCTGCCCCCTAGGAAGGGGGAGGGGGAGACCACAGGCCCCTGGAGCAGAGGTTGAGGTCAACAGGGCAGGGCGGCAGGGATTGAGGGAACAAACGCTGTTACCAAATGGGGTATCCAGAAGACTGAGAACCAAGATGCTGCGCAGGCCGCAGGCACAAGGACATGAGTGGCTGGGGCTGGACAGACAAAGCGGCCAAAGAATCTCACGGCCCGCCTGGATCAGGCAGGCAGGAGCGGGAGGGAGTGTCGGCCGAGGGGGCAGGGCAGCTGGGGAGAAGGCCTCTCTTGTCTTGAAGCTGCCTGTGGCAAGAGCAGAGGCAAGTTTCGGGCCTCCGAGCAAGCCTCCAGGCAGCTCCCTCAGCTCCTTGACTGATGGAAGGAAGGCAGCTCTGTGATGGGGAGGGGGCCCTGGCACAGACCCTGCAGGGGAAGGCCCTACCGCCAGCCCCTAGTGCTCAGCAGACGTGGCGGGGCGGGGGGGTGGGTACGGAGGGAGAGGAAGAGGTCAGACGCTAAACACAAAGAGAAAAAGAGGGAGAAGCCACGTCCTAAGACACGGGACTGGAGAGCAGAGTCTTCTGCCCTCACTCTGTGCCTTAGCTGCTCCTTGCACCTGGCAGGGTGGGGTCAGCACCCACTGGGTAGGGTAAGTGCCCAGGGCACTGAATGCCTACGGGGGCCCCCAGAAAAGGTCAGCTGAATTGAGACTGGAGAAGCAGAGAAAGAGAAGGTGGAGAGGCAGAGGCCAGGGGAGGGGGCAGGACTCACCGGCCACAAAGTCGCCGAAGCCAATGGTGGAGATGGTGATGAAGGAGTAGTACAGGCCTTCGATGTAGTCCCACTCTTCAGTCACCATGAAGACGAAGGGAGGGATCACCAGATGGACCAGGACGCCCCACACGATGAAGATGGCCGTGCACGTGATCTGCGCCTTCCGCTGATGGGGTGGCGGGAAGACCAAGTCAGACAATGATGGAGACTGGGGAAACTCAGCAGGGGCACCCAGGAGGGCTGGGGAGGCAGCCAGAGGGGAGGCCGCTCACTGTCCGGGGAAGGAGGCAGGAATGATGTCCCCAGCCCAACCCAGGAGGGCAGGGGGCTCTGAAACTGCCCTCTTGCCTTCTGTCCTAGCACCTCTGTCCAATTCGTGGATCCTTCCCACCCTCCCATCACCTGCCAGGGTCCCCCCACCTCTGCCCAGCACCTAGGGCTGGGGACATACCAGGCTCACGCCTCTCTTGGTGAGGAACTGGCCTAGCCTCTTGGCACGTCCTCCAAAGAACTTGCCCAGGGCACTGATCCATGTCAGGCAGAGTGGTACCCCGAAGAGACCGTAGAAGACACAGAAGAGGCGCCCAGCAGGGGTCTTGGGGGCCACATTGCCATAGCCTGAGGAAGAAGATAAGTGAGGTCAAGAACAGAGCCACAGAGGGGACCCAGACTCAGAGTGGCCCCTGCCTCCACCACACACACACACACACACACACACACACACACACACACACAAACATACACCCAGCTTGAGGGAGGCCCATTCTAAGATGAATTGATGTTGATCTAATATCAATTGATATAAGAAACGAGATTGCCCTTGATCACACTCTGATTGTGATCATTTGTAGCAATTCTGATGGTATGGGCTATGTCTCCTCCAACAGACTGGAGCTCCCTGAAGGTGGACTAAGCCTCCACCATTAGCAAGTTGTCCACTAGTCCATATGGCACCAGTGTGCAAATGAGAAACTGATACTCTCTCTGAGTAGACACCCCAGAGGCACTGTGGCAGACGGTCTCCAAAGACGGCCATCCTTAATCCTTTCCCTTCTTACGCAAGCTGCTGCTCACGTCAAGCTGAAGCCTGACTCCCCTCCCTCTGAATCTGGGCTTTCTTGACTTGCCCGACCATAGAATGCAGCGGAAGTGACGCTGGGTAGACCAGGTCTAAGAAGCCTTACTGCTTCTCCCTTTGGTCTTTTTGAAATGCCCCCTTCGGGATTTTCCCTCTTGGAACCCAGCTACCATACTGTGAGATGCCCAAGCCATTGCATTTTCATCCCCAGCTGAGCCCCTGGCCAACAGCCAGCATCAACTATGAAACATGTGATGCAAGAAGACATCTTGGACGTCCACTAGCTGGGCTTTCAGATGACTCCAGCCCCAGCCACCATGACTGCTACTGCATTTGAGACCTCAAGCAAGAACTCATCAGCTGAACCCAGTCAACCACAGAATGGCCAAAGATAATAAGAAGTTGTGTTGTAAGCCACCAACTTCTGGGGGCACTGGTTATGCAGCCATAGACAACCAGAACAGGCACCCAGCCTGGTGAGCAAGCATGGGCTGGATTTGTGCAGTGAGCAATCCGTTCAACCTCCTGCATGGTTCTGGCTATCAGGCTGTGTAGTTTCTGCTCCAAGAGCCCAGGTCAGGACTTCTGGAAGTCATTCTCCCAGGCATGGCCAGTCAGCAAGCGTCTACTAAACCCTCAGGAAAGTGTCAAAAGAACAGACTGGAACTGGCTTGATTTTACCCCCAATGAGGCCATGTGACCACAGCTGGACTGCTATAAGGATCTGGGAGTGAGGGCATGGAAGTGGGTGTCCTGAAGGTCTCAGAAGACTTACCAATGGTAGTGATGACTGTGGCTGCAAAAATCATTGCATTGGGCCAGTTCCAGTTGTTGAAGGTCTGGTTTCCTGTGATGGCCACACCCTGTCCTGCAGCATCAGATACCACCTAAAAAGAGGGAGACCATGAAGGTCAGAGAGGAGGCCAGACTTACAGATGCTTTGTAAGTGACAGCACTCTCTTAAACTCTGTATAAGCATTCTCATTTAATCATCACAATAACAAGGTGGTAGTTATTGTCTCCATTTTATAGATGATGAAACATTTTATAGAGGAACAGAGAGCTTAAGTGATTCACCCAAGGTCACATAGCTGATAAGAATATGAACATAGGCAATCTGGCTCCCAAGTTCATCCTCTCACTGAACCAGAATCACCTGGAGATCTTGTAAAATAGACTGCTGGGCCCCATCCCCAGAGTTTGATCTAGCAGGTCTGGGTCCAAGAATTTGCATTTCTAACAAGTTTCCTGGTGACACTGATGCTCCTGGTCCAGAGACCATACTTTGAGAACCACTACACTAGATTATTCTGCCTCTCAAAGAGGGCAGATGTGATGCAGACACACAGGAGGAACCCCCCTTCGTCCCCTTCCACACTCAGCCCTCCACAGAGAAGTGTTCCACTGCTCAGAGTTGGCTTGCAAGGGACCCCCATACACCCTTCACCCCCACTGGCAGGATGGCTGCTAAGGTCAGCTCAGTGCCCTCCTGCATCTGTCCTCTGAGAGTGTACAAATCAGCTGGCCTCCTTTTCCCCATGCCTGGGCCTCTATCCTCCCCCTCCACAGGCTCCCCCTTCCCTTACTGCTCTGAACCCCTTCTTCTCTCTGCCCTGGGCTGAGCAATTTCAAGGTCTGGGCCAGGACAGGTCATCAGAAGGTGATGTGTACATTTCAGGGTGACTCAAAATCGTGCCTTGAGTCCCCACAGCACTCCAGCCACTGTGGGACGCAGGGGAGAGGCCACCTGAAGACGTCCACTGGGAGACTCCAGGAGAGGCCTTATCTCGTCCAGGAACACTGCCAAACTTGTTTCCACCTGACCAGACTCTGCCTCCACCCCATCCTTCAGTTCTGTCCCCACTCACCCCACCAACAATGGCAGGGCCAGGACTCCCGATGAAGGCTCACAAGGAGGGGCAGGGACCTGCTCCAAATCTGAGGTTCCAGTTCTGCCCCCAAGGAGGGCCCCAGGATGGGCCATCCAGTCCAGAGACCAGGAACTCAGCCAAATTCCCTATAAAAAAGAAGCCTCGGACCAAGGGAAGAGAGAGGAGCAAGGGATGGAAGCAGGCTGGAGACAGAAAAACCGCAGTTCTAACCCACCCGCGGTGTGACTGAAGTTTGGTGGGAAAACAGAGCAAGGGTGGGTTACTCTGAAGGAATGTGCAGTTTGCAGCAGCACCACGGGCCCATGTAAACGGATCTGCAGACTCTACAAAGAATTTTCCATGATGACACGCTCATCTGACAGGCCATCAAACCACACCACTCGCTGCCCTGCTTGCTCACAGGATTTCCAGAGCATCTCTCTGCAGGCCCCGCAGCAGCCGAGAGGGACGGCTGCCTTTAACCCTGCCCTCAGAGAGCTGGCTGTCTAGGGGGCCAGGCCACTCACACAGGAAAGCACCAGGCCAACGGGAGAGATACGACTAGGCCAACAGGAGCGCTAAAACAAACACGACGGTCCATCCACAAGGTTGTCTAAAAAGTTAAATCTACGTTCAAAGCAAGAGAATGAGGAAGTACCAATGCCGTGTGCTAACGTTAAACAGATGGCAGAGAAAGCAGAGCCACTCGGCTCCCCTTTCTCAGCCTCTGTTATCTCAGATATCCGTCGTACAGTGGAAAGGGTAGAGCACAGCCCAAGACAGATGAAATGAGCACACGAGAACACCTTTAAGCGAGAATGGCATGACTGACCAGAGAAAGATGTCATCGAAGAGCCACCGCTGGTCATCCCGGTGGAATGTCGGGGGAACAGGAAAGATGTCAGAAGACAAGCTGTCCCCATTCTCACACAAATGGAATGGGTGGATCCTAGAAACACGAACGTGAACTCTTGCAGACTCCTAAACGGGGACAGCAGAATGTCTGGCACATTCAGAAGAGGAAGTGGCGGGCACTAGAAGCTAGCACAGGTTCACCAAGAACAGGTCACGCTCAGCTAAGTGCATCTCCCTCTCCTAAGGGGTTGCAAAGCCTTGAAGTTTGGTGGAAAGCAGTACATCTAGATTTCAGCAAGGCAGCTGAACAGCTGGGCTTAAACATATTCACATGGACAAGACAGGGAAATGGAGGGTGAAGCTTGGATTAATTTGGGTCCATTTAAAAGCAGATCAACAACCCCAAGAAGTTGTGATCATTATCAACCTGCCCTGGGCTCTCCGCAATCATGCCAAAGGCCTGGTCTCTTCAATATTTTAATTGACAACACAGTAAGGACATAGATGGCTGACCAGTCTAATCTGCAAAGGATGCAAACTTGGGGACAAGGCTGGGATGGGAAGATAGCTAACACATTGCAACGGCAGGTGTGGGACTCAAAATCACCTGGCCCGGGAAAATGGGCCCAAACTAACAAGATATGACTGTCTTTTAAAATTTTCATGTCTTACACTTTGGGTTAGGAAAGATAAGTATAGATCGAAGGGAAAAGTCCTTGGGTTTCAGCTGACCACAAACTAATAAACACAAGGGTGGCTGCGTGGCTGAGAAGAAAAGTAAATACAATCTGGGGCAGTGTCAATGCCTTATCTATTCGGGGCTGGGAGGTAACCAGCCCATTGTTCTCTACAGGGTCAGGCCATACCTGGCCACTCTGTTCTATTCTGGGTGTCAGACTTCACACGATATCTTATAACTAACAGGCCAAGGTCCAAGAGGGGAGGGGTGTGGCTTTTGGATAATGAGCTACCTCAGAATGGACTGCCCTTGGCAGTAATCCATTTCCAGTAATGGAAAGTGTTTAGACCAAGGGTGACCACCACATACCAGGGGTGTTGAAGGTCTGACTGGAACAGGGTTCTGAACTGGGGTGGTGGCACCCTCTGAAAGTGTTTGGAAACGTGCTAGGCTCTGTTCCAGGCACCAGGGATAGGCAGTGAAGGAACAAAATCCTTGTCCTCCTACACATCTATTCTAATGAATGATGGGGGTGCTGCTGGCATTATTAAGCGGGCAGGGACCAGAAAGGCTAAATGCCCTGCATTTCACAGGACAACACCACCCACTGCTCCCACTGAGAAACACTGGCTTGCCCAAGGCGATCTGTGATTTGGGAATTATTTAGTAAGTGCGAAGGAGACATCAAACCTAAGAGCAGGCAAAACAGGGTAACCAAAGACGGCATTATGGCTGAGAGCTGTGAGGCAGAGAAGCTAGGTTTCCTGACCTTTCCTCCATCGATGGTATGCCCTTTGGGGCACAGCCTCAGCCTCTGGCCCTGGGTTACCAGGGAGCCACGTGCTTTCCCCATGACCTCCATCTCTCCATGGTCACCCAGAGAGGGGCAGGCCAAAGGGGCATTCCCCAACCCCACTAGAAGCACCACTAACCCTTACAACGATCCAGTGGCAGGAGTTGTGCCCACTGGTCAGGTCAGGAAACTGAGGCTGAGAGAGGTTAAGTGGCAGAATTGGGCCAGGTTCTAGACAGGCTGCAAGTCAGCATGGCCCGTGCCTCCCTCCCTTCACAGATTGACCTGCCCCTGGCCCCCCCCAGCATCCCTTGTTGTTGCCTCTACTCTGTCCATGGGTCCGAAGCAGCTGGCCTAGGAATCAGCTTGGCTCCATCCCAATGCTGGGGAAAGAAGTAGGGTTTTAGTGCTGCAGTGTGTCAGACACCCCTTGCTGGGGCTTTTCTATCTGTTACCTAACTGGCTCTTCCTGTGGTTCTGCCAGGCATCACTTGACAGGTGAGGAAAGCTGGGCTTGGGGAGCACAGGTCTGGATATGAACTTGGGGTGCCTACTCCCTATTCCCCCCACGTGCAGCTGTGGCTCACTAGTTATGGTCAGGGTCACGCAGGCTGAGGGGGAGGCCTCCCAGCACAGAGGAGCTGACCCAGGACTGAGGTCATCCCAAGGTTAGGGGGAGGGGCATGGGGGAACCTGGCCCACACCCTGTTAGACCCTGGGGTTAAGGAAACAGCTTTCTCAGGGGGAGGCGGCCCCTGTTCACTCACAGGATTCTTTAACTTGGCTCCCAAATTCAACAAGACACTATTTTCATTTTCCACATAACCCTGGAGAGTGACGGGAGAGGGGGATGCTGCACACGCCCCAGCCCAGCTCTTGTCTGGGGACGGAATGGGGCTCCCGCCTCTGTCACCCTCCTAATAAAGCAGCTGTGATTTACTGACCACTCACCAAGTGTTGTGCTAAGTGCTTCACATGCCTTGAGCTCATTTAATGAGGACACAATCCTGCTGGGAAGATACCATAATTTTTTCCATTTTGCAAATGAGGATTTACAGCTTAGAGAGGTTAAGTAAGTAGCCTAGGGTCTGATTGCTAAAAGTGAGGAAGCCAGGAGGAGGACCCAGCCCATCTGGGTCCTAGCCGCTGTCCATCCCCCACTCCCGGCAAAGGCCACAGGAAGGAGGGCAGTGCAAACTTCCACCCCTTCACACCAGCTGAAAAAACAGTGCCCTAGAACCAGTCCATCCACTCTGACCGAGCTCAGCATTTCCAGCCAGGCCTCCAGGAGGCGAGATTCATGCCCTGGCCTTGGCTTCAGGCAGCCACTGCCCTGACCCCACCCTCTCAGGCACTCGCTGTCCACGAAATCTGGGTTCCCGGACAGCTCCTCACCCCTGGGGATCCGGGGTTTCCCAGGCAGAGGCAGCTGCCAGGCCTCCTCTTCCCGGACAGATTCATCCTGACAAGTGGGCAGTTCCGGGAGGGCACAGCCAGGGCTTGGGCCACGAAGCCCACCTTCTGACACAGGCAGGTGGGGCTGAGGTGGGCCCTGTCCGTCATCGGGCCGGGTGGGGAACCTGAAGTCAGGGTGGCAGCCTGTCTGGGGACGGCACCTGCCTCCAGCTCCCGCATCATGTACGGATCACAGAGCTCCTTCCTGCTAAGCAGGATGTGCCTCAGAATCCT